CGAGTCCTACATCGGGGAGCCTCACAAGTGGTGTGGGATTTATAAGTATGAGGGGCTCTCTCACCTGACAGACTAGTTTTTTGAGATGGGCTCTTCTTTTGGGCTTGTACTCGTCACATTGGTGCTTTCATTGAGAGACTAGTGTCATGGAAAGGACTACCCACGGAGGGTTCTGATCTGCAGAAGGCTGAGTGAAGTGCCATAGAGTAAAGCCGCCGGGAACGTTGGCTCTTGACGATGTGGCATTGTCACAAGTAGCATATCGAGAAGCCTTACAAGTGGTGTTAACTTTATAAGTGTAAAAAACTCTATCACCTAACAAGCTAATTCTTTTGGATAAATTTTTCTTTTAGATTTGTGTTCGTCCCACCTTCATTGGTAGAAATTCTCTACATATAATCATGAATGCGCATACACACATTCACATATTGTATATAGTAGTATTTTTTATTACAAGTAAATCGTGCGGCATTAAACCCGCAACTTGGCATAAACTAGGGCGAGCAGAGTTTTGGTTATAAAATACACGCATTTGTAAATTTGTACAAATTTATTAAAATAATAAAGTAATAGTGTGTTATCATTCCGGTAGTTCTCAAACGCTGAAAAAATTAATGACAATTTTTTTACTTAAAAAAATATTTGATGAATTAAGCCATTATATTATTCTTCCTAACCAGACTATTTCTAGTTTTCTGCAAACTTGACTACTGTAAACTCAACATCTATGTGTAAGAGCACTCCCTTCATTTAAAAATATAAAATATTTTTTAAAAGTTAAATATTTAAAAATATAAATTATTTTTAATTTTTTGAGATGTAATCATGCATTTTTTTTAAAAGTTTCTCTATTGATAATAATTCTATATTTATTTTAAGGTATTTAATAAGAGTAAATATAAAAAGATAGAATTATTTTAAAAGTAAGTAACTACTTTATTGAAAAGTGACATTCATTTAAAAATATTTTACATTTTAAATAAAGAGAGTAATTTTTTTAGGGAAAATATAAATATAAAATAATATTAAAATATACTTCTGATAGGAAATTAATTAATATATGTTGACCAAACATATGGACATGCATCCAATTATAAGTGCATAAATTGAGGACGAAGTAGTCACGGTGACTAGTCAAATTTTGTAGCATTGATAATTTCCATGTGGGTGTGTTTTCAATAGGGCTATATAAAAGTCTTGTGGTCTCATTCGATTCGATTTGACTCATAAAAATTCGATCCTGTCCAATCCTGTAAAATATTGGTCCTATAGGACCAAAAAAACTAAAAAGACAGGATTGATTTTTCGGATAAGACCAGACTAGAGATCAAACATCTAGATTAAGTGGTCCGGCTTGGTCCTATATAATTATTTTAATATAATTAAAATTAATTTATAAATTATTAATTAATAAGCCTTAGAAAAAAGTTTTAATCCTGCCTTGCACTTTGCACTCTGATAAAAAAAAAAAAACTCAACAGTGTTACTCAACAGCACTTAGCGTCTCAGCCACTCACTCAACTTTGCTCTCATTCTCAATTTCTTCAGTGCGCCAAAGCCCTAGCCCCTACCTTGCACTTTGTACTCTGATCTTGATCTGTTCGAACTTTGAAGGAACATGTCTGTGGGCTAATTTTTATTACTTCTGTTCTTACTGATTTTTTTCCTCTGGTCTATTTTTGGTCTTTCCTATGATTTTTTATTGAAGTTATGTATTTAAATCATTTAGAATTTGGATTACAACTAAAATATTATTTTCTTGGTTTTAAAAATTATTATGGATTTATTATGATTATAAGTGTTTTTATTATCTTAATTAAGTTTGTTAAGTTGAAATAGATTATTGGTCATCATAGAGAAAAAAAAAGGCCAAGTAAGTATTGGACTAACATGACCAGTCTCCCAATTCTATGAATCAAGTCCAGTCTTGTTAATCTCCAGGTTTTTACAGAACCAGATCGAATTATGAATTACCTAAGCCAATCCTTTTTATAAAAAGGATCAGACTCTGAGTTAGATTAAAGTCCAATCTCGTTCAGTTTTTTATACAGCCCTACTTTTCAATGCGTTAATGCGTGAAATCAAAGTGTGAAATCAAAGTCGAAGCTGAAGTTCTTGTACAGATTAGAGCCATCGGTAGCAACACACTCAAAGCTTTTCCTACTTTTAGTCTCTAATGTAATTTTGTTTGTTTTCCTTTCCGTGCACCTTGTACAGTTTACTTAGTTAATGATAGTCCTTCTTATTCCAAAAAAAGAAAAGGAAAAGGAAAAGAAAAGGTCCACTCAACTTCTCTCGAAAAAAGCGGATCCACGAAAATCTCTAACACCTGCAGTTTAAATAATTTAATTTTTTTATATTTTTTTCATTAAAAAATATAAAATATTTTTTTAAAAATTAAATATTTAAAAATATAAATTATTTTTAATTTTTTTAAAGTGTAATTATTTTTTTAAAATACCCCCATTGATAATGACTTTATATCTATTATATGGTGTTTAATAGGTATAAATATAAAAAAATAGAATCAATTTAAAAATAAATAATTACTTTATTAGAGGGTGAGATTTGATTAAAAATATCTTATATTTTTTAACAGAGAGTATATATGTGCATTATCTTTTATCTTTTGACATCTGTTATTTCAAAATAATTTAACGATAATATATTTTTCAAAAAATACAATACATTTTTTGTCTCCAAATTATTAAATATTATTGTCATTTTTTAGATTCTCAATAATTATATAATTTTGGTTAAAATACATAAAACCTGCCTGAATTTTGAAACAGTTGTATATAATCCCTCTCACCTTTAAAATTTAAAAATTAACCCTCCTAATATTTAATTTAATTTTTCAAAACTGCCTATTATTAATTATGTTATTTTTTTATGAGGATTAAAATGTCATTCAATTAAAAAATATTATATTATATAACTATTTATAATAAATTTTTTATATTTTGTAGAAAATTGAGGCATCGAAAAAAAATATTATTATCACTATATAAAATTTTAAATATTTATATTTATATTATTTTTATCCATTTTTTTGTTATTAATGGTTCATGATTTTATTTTCTTAAAAGATAAATTTCTATTTATATTTTAATGTTAGATTAATGTAATGCATATGGCTAAAATATTTAAAGTTTTAAATATTATCATGTTAGATTAATTTATCTTTTAATAGTAAAAAACTATGCAGCATTGATAACAAAAAGATATAAAAAACTAACACAAAAGTAAATATTTAAAATTTTATATGGTGATAATAACATTTGTTTTGGCTATTATTAATGCTTCAACTATTCAAAAAATATAAGAAATTTATTATAAATAGTTATATAATATAATATTTTTATTTAATAATATTTTAACCCTCATGAAAAAAATAACATAATTAACAATAAAGGAATTTGTAAAACAAAATTAAAGGTTAGGGAGTTAATTTTAAACTTTTAAAAGTGATAGGAGTTATATGTAACTATTTCAAAGTTTAGGAGAATTTTATACATTTTAGCCTATAATTTTTAATACATATAAGTAAAATTTTAATTTTAGTTAAAATATCTTCCATTAGCTATAAATATAACTTGTGAGTTTGTAAAAATTTAGTTCCGAGTATAATTTTAACTCGGAATATAATGACTTTCTTTATCAATAGACAGAATCTTTGAGTTGTCTGAATATTTAATTTATTAATATTTGAAAATAAAAATGGTATGTTAAAACTTTTTTAGAGAAATAATATACTGTAATATAATTAGTGTGCACTGGGGGGAATGATGGCATATATGCTTTGTTTCATTCTGAAAGTTCCAGACTTTTTCTGCCAAATTTCCATCTTATTTCTGTTGGAGCTGAAAGATAAGACATGGGACCCAATCCACATAATTAAATTTCGAGGGTCCTTCTTTCTTTTTCCTACCAGTTTCGATAATTATCTTACAATATATGCCTCCCAAACTGTAGTATTTGTACTCCAGACACGAGAAAACAATCCAACATGCCCAGTCAAACTCCTCAGTCATCACCCCAATTCTCTTGCAGAATGCTCAATTTTCAAAGAGCTCAATTTTGGCAATTTTCTTTAAAATTGTTTCCTTGTTATTTATTTTTCGATAAAAAGATAATATTTAAAAATATTTTCTTGAAGAACAAAAAATATACACGGATTACTTGAATTTTTTTAAAAAATATTTGATAAGAAGGACTAAAAGATTATTCAACTGTTATTCTGCATTTTTTTAATTATTCGAGGAAAATTGAAGTAAACCCCTTGTTTGTTTTTGGGAGAAAATTAAGGCTAATTAACTCGGGATTCATGGGGGATCATCATTAGATTAAAGAAGGCATAACTTAATCAGTACTGCTTTTTTTTTTTCTGTGTCTAATTCATGCATGTTCCCTATCTTTTTTGTTTAATTTATAAATTCCCATGCCCAGAAAACTCGTGAGACAAACCAATTTATTAAGTAACTATTATTGAAAACCACTCACAATATTTAAAGGCTAGACGGCTATCTTTCCAGCCTTAATGAATTCAATTATCTCTCTGGAATCAAGTATGTACAGTAATTTGCTTTTGTGGGGAGAAAAAAGAGAGAGCTTTGCTTTACATAATGCCAAAAGCAGGGAGGGGAAGAATCTTAATCCAATCTGTTGCTTTCTTTTCAACAGCTGTCCCTATTGTCATGGCAAGCAATGTCTCTTGGAACTTGCAGATTGAATTTTTATAGCAAGGAAAATTAAACCAGGTTTTAGGCGCACTAAGCACATTATTAATTATCAATATTAAAAAAAATAAAACAGTTAGGGTAATTAATTAACACAGGAAATTTTTTCTCCAGATCTCAATAGTCTGTTTCCTTAATCCTCATAATTAACGGAGCTTTTAGAAATGTAAAGGGATTCAAGTAAAGTTGCTCCACCGTATAAGGAAACAGATTAAGAAATAAGAAGGCGGCTTAATTAGTTATTCATTGGTCCGACAGAGAGACGAGCAAGTAATAGGTTGTATATGAATACAAATGTAGTTACAGTCTATGACCAAGGGAATGCTTGAATAAGCTAGTTTAATTTGCTGATTATTGGATGGATGGATGAATGCCTAATATTAATTAACACAAAGAGAAAACTTGTTTCTCTGAACTATCGGATATTGCGCGTCAGTAATAGATCAGAAAGACAGATAAAAGGATACATCAAATATATAAGATAGATATGAACAGCTGAAAGAGACTGATGGCTAGCTGGTTCAAGCTAATCAATTAAGTGACGCTGATGATTGGACCGAGAAGGGTTGTTTGCTGCTGGCCAGTGTTATTGGGGGCTGCAAGAGTAAGCTCCAGATCAAGCGCTGCATTGGAAGATTTCAACACATTCCCACCTTGTTGCTGAGAAGAATCATCGTCGGTAATTGCTTCTATTTGCTTATCATCTGACGATTTGTGGGCTTCCATTTTACGGCCGAGCAGCTGCAAATGAGTGTCAATATTCTGATGACGACGATCTTGACCACTGCCAACCTAGCAGATTTGTATAAAATCATTTTGGACTCATGCGGAGTTAAATAATTGGAAGCATAGATATAACAAAGATGAAAAATAATAAATGTACCATATCAAAGAGACTAGAACGTCGCTTCTTCTTGTGAACGGTGGCGAGGCGGAGGAAGTATTTCTGGGCATGGCTGGCAACTTGAGTAGGGGTTCTGGAGGTGACATAGTTTCTGGAGATTCCTCGCCAGTCTCCTTTTCCCAGCTTCTCCAGCCCTACCAGGAATGCCCGGTGCTCCTCTTCTGTCCATGGAACTCCTGTTTTATCATACTCGGTTAATTTTTGTATAGTCAATTTCTGATGCTCAATTTGAAATGCCAAGAACAGAAGAAATACATTGATTTTACCTTTTTTGCGGTCTTGCACTCGACCCAGGAGACCGTCGGAGAGATAGCCGAGGGAGGTTCTATCGGAGGAAGAGAAAGAGGAGGAAGGAGAGGAGGAAGAGGGCAAAGAGTCCATGCTGAAGCTTTTCTTGATGGCAAGACCAGAAGAGGAGGATATGTCCACTTGAACGCCGAAGAGTCGGAGCCCTACAAAAGCGCCTCTCGTAGATGTGCACGTCCTTGAATTGTGGCCTATGTTCCCACAATGTGAGCATTTCCTCGCCATTTTCACTCCCCGCAAGTTTAATGTGGTCTGTCTCTGCGTGTGTGCGTGTCTGAGAGAGAGAGCAGGAATCAGAGATATGTTTGGTGGTATATATGATGATGGAGGTGGGGTGGGGTTTCTGAAATAGGACGCACACCAACACAAGGCGATTGGATGGACGTTGTTTATTGTTGGGTATTTTCGCAATTAATTAAATTTTCGTAAAAAACAAAAATATATCTCAACGTACGATACCTTATCTTATTTAGAGTATTCGTGTCCTCTGGGATTATACGGGCCATATCTCTCCACCAAACCCTATATTTTATTCCATGTATAACTGAAGAACCTTCCACATATATAAACACACATTTCGTAATTTATGCTTCCTACTTCACAGCAGCTTCTTTTTACTTTCCTTCATCTACACACACACACAGAGCACTATCTACAAATAAATTAGTTAATTTTCTGCGTCTGTTTATTAGATTAATATGATCGTAGGTTAGACAAGGATAATGATCGTATACATACATAAATTCGTATAGATACATGGGCGTTTTGAGTATTCAACATATGTACAAGTGTGTAGGCAAAGTCAGAATCGACCCGGCATGATTCCAATGTAGAGGAGGGTAGGTCTAAGTATGACTTGAGAAGAAGAAAGATGAGAGGAAATTAAGAGAATAGTTTGAAAGTTGTGTGGAAGCCACAAATTATACAGAGAATGGAAATTACTAAGCCTATTAAAGAAGGCGTGAAGAGGACGAGAGAGAATGACAACAGGCTCGGGGCTATTGAATGTGTCAAACATGCGGTTTTAGGGCCAAATGAAGATGTCGTTTTGTGATGTATTAATTCCTCAAGAGATGCTGTTCAAAGTCAAAACTCCATCGATTACTTTTACTTTCTCAAACCCAACAGACGCTTCTGCGTACGGATCCTGTTTGTTCAACATTATTGCTTTGATTGAAAATCCACGAAACGCATCTTTCCAACCTACGTATGTACATGCGACTCCTATCTATTTATTATTGCCACCATCGTCATTTGTTTGTGTCATTAAATTAGCATCCATCCTGGCCAGTTTACCTCACTTCTCTTGCGATGCTTTTCTCCATATAATGAATATTAATAGGCCGGGCAAACATATTTAAACCGGAAATGGGACTGGCACACTCATATATAGTTTTTGGACAGATAATTCATCAATATATCCACCTCATCCTGCCCTGTGATTTATTCATCATGTCATCAAAATCATTGTGGTTTCAGAGTTTTGCACATATATAAATTAAAAAGGTAATTGGAATTGTTTATATCGTACAAAATCCAACAAGTAATTTGACAATAATGCCCTCCAACATTAAACATATCCTTATTTCTTATTTTCTTATGCTTCAATATAATGTACGTGACTCTTAAGTATTTTAGTAATGAAAAGAAAAATAGTACACAAGTAATAAATGCTTCATTAAAAATCACGAAAAACTTCAAAGTGACGATTTTTTTTTAAAAAAAAGGGGACGAAGTATCATATCATATCATATGATATTATGGACCAATTATATAATTTGTCAAGAATTTCACCCTCGACATGATATAATAGCTTAGTTTGTGAATTTCTTTCTGTCGCAGAAAACCACATATCCAATGGGTCAGACTAGTGGAGAGTGGATCATTTGGCATTATCATAGAAAGGAATATCGTTGAAAAGAGAAGAGGGAGCCATCGATGAGATGCTATATGTGTATGATCATGAAGCCCTCCTTTTCCTCTTCTTCTTTCATTTCTATATTTCTTGTTCTTTTAATTTACTTACTTTTTTTTTTTTGGGGATCATCGCATTTACCTGCTTACTATATATATGTACCTTTGAGGTGTCTGGAGTCGAATTAGTACTAGAAAAATAGAATTTAGTGATGAATAAATTCCTTGCTAAATGTTATTTTCCCTCACCAAATAGCGTTTTAGCGAGAGATTTTGAATATCATTAAATTCATAGTTAAAAAATGCTCGCTAAATTTAGAAAAGGATTGTATTTTCCTCGTTAATTAGTAAGGAATTTAGTCTTTCACTAATTGTTAGCGAGGGCCACATTCCTTGTTAATATTATTCAAAATTTGATAATTTTAACGACAGATTAATCCCTCATTAAACCCTCCCTTAATATGCCTATATTTAAGAATAGTGATACCACATCATCCACCATATGTGCACCAACTTGTGACATCATCTCATGCCCTATCACTCACCGCATGTGCGACAACTCATACCATATCATGGTTCACCTCATGTTTTGTTACTTGCTTTTCACCATGTCATATATTTATTATATTTATACCAAAGTCAAGACTTAAATCCTTAACCTCTTACCTTTCAAACCTTATGTTCTTTTTTTTGCTAGTTGAATTGAAAGGCACTTGCAGTGATTATATAAAAAATTAAATATATATTATTTAACTACATAAATATATTAACTAATATATTATAAAAATAAACACACGCATATATTAAATTTTATTTTTAATTATTGATATACTAAAAATATTCATTTTATTTAAATTATTATTTATATTATATTTTTAATAAAATATTATTTTATTAATGAAAATCAACTTAAAATCAAGAAAATATTTAATTTTAAATAATTTTATCATGAATATTTTAGTTAATTTTTAAATTTAATTTTTATTTTTAAATAAAAATAATTAAATATATAATTAAAATTCATTGTTAAAAGTTAAAAATTTTTTTATAGTAATTAGCTGGGAATAGTATCCTATACTAAATCTCTCATTAATTATTTTATTTTAGAGAGAGATTGTTAGTTTTTCACTATTTTCCTCATTAATTCTATTATTTTATAGAGAGATTGACAGTTCCTCAATAATTTTAAGTTGAGCTATAAAATCAATATCCCTTACTAATTTTCTCATTAAGTTGATATTTTAGAGAGGAATAGATTATCCCTTATTAAATTTTCTTGTTAATTTATATTTTTTTAGTAGTGAATACTCATACATATATATGAATTGGACTTTCAAATACAATATTAATCTCTCAACAATGTTGTATACATATCTTTCCAGTTGTCTATAATCTAAATAATAACCTCATGGTAGTTTTCGCATAAAATTGATAGTTCAAAATCTTAAAACTGCTACAGTACGTACTGGTCAAAAGATTAAAACCCTTGAGCCCATAGAAAGTGCACGTTTGAATGCTGATCAACTTTAATTTCATCATCTTTTCTACATCCCCACTTTCTAAGTGCTGAATAGTCGCATATCAATGAGAAAGTACACAGTACACAGTTAATCTATTCAATTCCGTCACACACACACACACACACACACACACACACAGATCATTGTGTGTAATGTCAAGATTTTAATTATTATGACCTACTTCTATATATCAAATCACTTGTGCTTAATTATGCGTGCGCTTAGTCTTGCCAAAATTGGGCTCTAGAAACCCAGTCATACTTAGTGGCACGAGATGGTGATGTAATCAGTGATTGGAAGTGGCACTGATGGCTTTCAAACCTGGTACGTGGAAAAAGGGGAAGAACGGGCTGCGTTAGCTCACAGGTCACTATCAATCCAGAGGATATATATATCTAAATCATTAATACACATAAACTAGTAATTAATCCTCCATATGCTTCTTTGATCATATCAATCTGTATTATTATATCAGGGACAATCATGGCAACTTAAAGCCACTTAAGCTGAAAAGATAGATTACATCACAAAAATCCAATGCAAAGAATGCTTATTTTACTGAATGCCCAATGTACAAGCACTTGCCTTTCTCCCAAAACATGATTCCAAACCATTGAGCTCATAACAGCTGCACATATACTCTTCATCTTTTTTACATCTCAGTCCAAAGGTACCACTTGGTGGAAGTGAAAGATCGATACGCGGATCACGATGTAGATAATTAATAGTTAATTATAGCATAAGTGTACATGGTGTTTGTTAAATTGGAGCGATCATGCAATTTTATAATGCCTGAGTGGCTTTCTAATTTTTCAAAGAGGTATCGTCCCAGAAACGAATCGCTTTCTTTAAAGTCAAAAGCATAATTAAGACGAGAAACTGTGCAAATAATAATGATTATGCAGATGAGGAGACACGGTTTTGTATTCGACAGCACTTTCCTGTGCGTTTTAATTTATTTCAGTTGGATTTTAATTAGCAGTACTGTGCGCCATCATTCAACTTAATTAATCACCTTGAATCACATCAAATCACAGTCTGTGTTAGCGTGTAATTATTATGTATGGATATTCATTATTAATTCCACAGTAAGATTCATATCTGTCTATTGGAAGTGTGGTACATGTGAAGAAAAGATGGGTAGTCCTCTTCCGTGAAATCCACCTTTCAACACAAACATCATTTTATTATAAATATAAATTCAAAGGAAGAATTCATTGTAGAAGATCAAGGCCCGTTTGATTTTTTATTTGTTAAAAATTTGTTTGTCAAAAATTTATTTCAAAAAAATCAATTGATAAAAGTTAGTTATTATAATAAAATTTATATTTAAATATTTTTAAAAAAATTAATTTACTATACTAAAAATTGTTTGAATAATATATAAATGAGAAGTATTTATATATATATATATAATTAAAAAAAGACATCGATTTTATGATATATAATTTTTATTACACACATGCAATATATTTAAAATGTTAGGAAAATACATATAATTAAAATTTTAAATAACATAAAATTTAATATGTTAAATAATAAATAATTAAAAAATAAATAAAGTCACTTCATTAACCTTGCACATTATTCCCAATCTCACAAATTACTTTCCTTTATTTATTTATCTGATCAATTAAATATGAAGTACTAATTATTTTTCTTAAGCTAATAAAATTTTAGTTTAACGCTGATCATCACTTTCTGTATGATTTATCTAGCCTCCCTGCAATTTCGGGTTTATAAAAAATTACAAGCTTAACAATCTATGTCTGGTAAATAATCATAAGGGTAGAATAGTAAAATAAAACTAGTCACTCCCTCATTAGTACCCAAATTCCAACTTCAAATGTAAACTTATGTGAAAGTAGCTTTGGGGAAAGACTTTTT